ACAGACACACGGACACAGACACGTAGACACACGGACATGCAGACACACGGACAGACAGACACACGGACATGCAGACACAAGGTCATGCAGACACACGGACAGACAGACACACGGACAGAGAGACACACAGACAGACACACGGACAGACAGACATGCAGACACACGGACGGACAGACACACGGACAGACACACGGCCACGCAGACACACGGACAGACAGACACACGGCCACACAGACACACGGACAGGCACACACACAGACAGACACACGGACACGCAGACACACGGCCACGCAGACACACGGACAGACAGACACACGGCCACACAGACACACGGACAGGCACACACACAGACAGACACACGGACACGCAGACACACGGCCACGCAGACACACGGACAGACAGACACACGGCCACACAGACACACGGACAGGCACACACACAGACAGACACACGGACACGCAGACACACGGCCACGCAGACACACGGACAGACAGACACACGGCCACACAGACACACGGACAGGCACACACACAGACAGACACACGGACACGCAGACACACGGCCACGCAGACACACGGACAGACAGACACACGGCCACACAGACACACGGACAGGCACACACACAGACAGACACACGGACACGCAGACACACGGCCACGCAGACACACGGACAGACAGACACACGGCCACACAGACACACGGACAGGCACACACACAGACAGACACACGGACACGCAGACACACGGCCACGCAGACACACGGACAGACAGACACACGGCCACACAGACACACGGACAGGCACACACACAGACAGACACACGGACACGCAGACACACGGCCACGCAGACACACGGACAGACAGACACACGGCCACACAGACACACGGACAGGCACACACACAGACAGACACACGGACACGCAGACACACGGACACGCAGACACATTTCAGGTGCCTGCCGCAGCCCGCCCTCGCGGAGGGTGCTCCTGCCCCTGGCAGGGGTGGGATGAGCTGAGCTTTACCTTCCCCTCCAACCCGACTCGTTCAGCAATTCCACGAGATCCCCGGGGGCTCCTTTGTCCGGGCCCCTCTTTGAGGCACCCGATGCGATTGATCCGTGCCGTGAATCCCGAGGATGTGAGAGCCTCGCGCCAAAGCTTCCTTCAATGCTCCCCCAGACGGGACTGCCCAGGCACCAGTCCTTGGCTAATGTCAGCTTAGAGGAGGAAAAGCGGGTTCCCTCTCTTGGAAACGTGCTGCTGTTGCGTTTGGGGTGTTTCCTCCGCGGCTGCCATCCTGGTGCCTCTGCAGCACAGCAGTGACGCTCTGGCTGTCCTGGAATTGCAGCTCTGGAAATGCCCAAGGCCATCCCGTGACTCCCTGCATCCCCAGCCCTGAGCCCAGGGGATTCAGCTCCTGAGGAGGGGGTCCTGATCCCTGGGCTGGTTCCCGGGTACAGCCGGCAGTGGGTGACACGTCCAGCATTCCAGCCTCGGTGTGAGTTTCGCTGATCCCTCCGTCACAGTTCTGCCCGGGAATGGCAGTGGCACATCCCTGCACACCTCAGGCACACGGGGTCCCCAGCTGCTGGTTTTTGGCTTCCTTTTCCTGCCTCTGTCGAGGATTGAAGGCACTGGAGGGGATGGTTCACGTCCAGGCTCAGGTGTTTGTTATTTCTTACCTGTGTTACAGCCTCACAGCATTGAGTTCTGCACTAACAGGGCACAAAATGGCAAACTGCCTCTTGTTACAGGGTCTTTGAAGGCTAAATTATCCAATAAAGAAATGACATTTAAATTATTTTCACTTTTAACCCAATAACTAATCCCTCAAAGTCTGCAGGGTGGGCTTTTCTGTCCAATTACAAAATACCACCCAAACCCATGGAGAAGAAGGTGAAGAAGAAGGAGCTGCCTCCATCTTGCTTTATACATATTTCTATATTCTAAAACCCCAAACTCTGAGTTTCCCACCCTGTGGCATCACACACTTCTAACCAACTCCACACCCACAATCCCAGTGCTCTCAGTCAATTTTGGAAGCCTTCTCCACGGCCTCAGCTCACATGCAGTGTTCTCCTGGGGTCCAGAGCCTGTCAGCACAGAAATCTGAAATTCTCAGCAGACAGAGCTCCAACATCCAGCTAATTATCAGGGGTCATTAGGAGCCCTCACTTCCCTGCAGCTGCAGTTGCAGCAGATCCAGCTGATCTCCTCCTCAGTGGCTCATTGTCCACCTCCCTTTGGGAGAGGATCATGGATAATGAGGGTTAATGGACACTGGATAAAGGATCATCTTCCTCAGCTGCCTCAGCCCCTCCCGACTGCGCCAAAAGGAGCCGCAGCACCCCCAGCACTGCTCTGCCCACGCCCAGAGCCCGCAGGGGATTAACCCTACAGGAACCCTGAAAATGATCCAGCTTAGAGCAGGCAGGTCAGAACTGCCCATGGGACTGGGAGGGCAGAGTCCCGAGCCCCAGGAGGGGCTGAGGGAGCTGGGAAGGGAATGGAGCCCCAGGAGAGGCTGAGGGAGCTGGGAAGGGAATGGAGCCCCAGGAGAGGCTGAGGGAGCTGGGAAGGGGCTCAGCCTGGAGAAAAGGAGGCTCAGGGGGGACCTTGTGGCTCTGCACAACTCCCTGACAGGAGGGGACAGCCAGGGGGGGTCGGGCTCTGCTGCCAGGGAACAGGGACAGGACAAGGGGAAATGGCCTCAGGCTGGGCCAGGGCAGGCTCAGGGTGGACATTGGGAACAATTCCCACCTGGAAAGGGCTGTCCATGCCTGGCACAGGGTGGATATTGGGGACAATTCCCACCTGGAAAGGGCTGCCCATGCCTGGCACAGGGTGGACATTGGGGACAATTCCCACCTGGAAAGGGCTGTCCATGCCTGGCACAGGGTGGATATTGGGGACAATTCCCACCTGGAAAGGGCTGCCCATGCCTGGCACAGGGTGGATATTGGGAACAATTCCCACCTGGAAAGGGCTGTCCGTGCCTGGCACAGCTGCCCAGGCTGGGGTGGGCTCCCCATCCCTGGAGGGTTTCAAAGCCCTGTGGCTGTGGCACTTGGGGACAGGGGACTCTGGTGGCCTGGGCAGAGCTGGGGGTGGTCAGGAATACTCCACGGGGTCAGGGGGCTTTCCCATGATTCCAGGAGTGGTAGGAAGACTCCCACACCCATTTTCCTTATGAAACTCTTTCTTCTCGTGGTTAGGAGGACAATGATCCTTCTGAGGCTGGTAAATCCTAGACAGGAGCCAGCAGGAATCTCTGCTTCCCTTTGCACGGGCAGCGAGGGGCCAGAGCCGCCACTGCCCAGGGCTGGGACAGAGAATCTTCCAAGGGGACACAAGGGAGGGACAACAGAGAAAGGCTGAGCCTTTCCAAGCTTTCAATTCCCTCCTCTCCAGGAATGACTGTCACGGCTCTGGATCTCCACCTTCTGCTGACAACGGGAATGCCATCCCAGAGAAACAATTTCCCAAGAACTCTGCTCACGCTGGGATTTGCTGCCAGGGCAGAATGAGAGCCTGGCTGTGAGCAGGGGTCCCACTGATCCTGAAGTTCAGCTGATAAAAGTGGGTCCAGAGGAGGCCCCGGAGCTGCTCCAGGGCTGGAGCCAGGCTGGGAGAGCTGGGGGGGCTCACCTGGAGAGGAGAAGGATCCAGGGAGAGCTCAGAGCCCCTGGCAGGGCCTGGAGGGGCTCCAGGAGAGCTGCAGAGGGACTGGGGACAAGGATGGAGGGACAGGAGCCAGGGAATGGCTCCCAGTGCCAGAGGGCAGGGCTGGATGGGAGATTGGGAATTGGGAATTGTTCCCTGGCAGGGTGGGCAGGCCCTGGCACAGCTGGGGCTGCCCCTGCATCCCTGGCAGTGCCCAAGGCCGGGCTGGACACTGGGACACCCTGGCACAGTGGCAGTGTCCCTGCCAGGGCAGGGGTGGCACTGGGTGGTCCTGAAAGTCTCTTTTCACTGAGAGCACCCTGGGTTTGATGATATTTTCTCACACATTTTTACACATCACCAGCAGCGGAGCTGCATTAACAGAACCAGCCCTGGCCCTGTCCCACACCAAGCCCCAATGAGCTGTTAAAGAGCCCAGACACAGACAGACAGACAGACAGACAGAGCCACTGGTGCTCACCTGACATGGCACTGGAGATGCCCAGAGCACCTGAGGACAGAAGGCTCAGTCCCAGCCTCACCATTAATGAGCTCCAGGACAGCGGGGGCACAGACTGGGGCTGGACTCCCCCTCTGCCTGGCCCCAAATCCTGATCTTTCTGCCCCAAAACCGCCCCCAAATCTCCAAGGAGGAGCCAGTGCCCCAGGCCCAGCCTGGAGCTGGTTCTACACCAACACCCAGGACCTGCCCCCGCTCCACCCTGCCCTCGCAGGGCACAGCCCCCCGAGCCCCCCCAGGCCCAGCAAACAGCCTTGGAGGAATGGGGGCTGACCCCCCAGCAGGGCTGAAAGCACCCCCAGAGGGAGATTCAGTGGCACCACAGGGCCCCCCCAAGGGCAGGAACCTGCCTGTCCCCCCCCAGGCCAGCCCCCTCACCTGGGGGCACGGGGGCCCGGAGGTGCCCTGGCACAGCAGGACACGGCACCTGGGGGGTCCCAGCACCTCCCACCCCAGTCACACCACACCAAAACCAGCTGGGAACCCCCTCGAGCCCCCCCAGACCCCACCCTGCTGGGCACAGGGCTGACACTGCCGGGCTGTGATGGAGCTCGGTGACACGGTGACACCTGGCAGCTCAGTGACAC